AGAGAATAGAATAGAATTTAGAATAGAATAAAAGAATAGAATAGAGAATAGAATAGAATTTAGAATAGAATAAAATAGAACAAATAAAGAATAGAATAGAATTTAGAATAAATAGAATAGAATAGAATAGAGAATAGGATAGGATAGGATCCTTTATTGTGATGGGACACACAAGGAATTTGTCTTTGGTGCCTTATGCTCTCAGTGTACATAAAAAGACAAGATACATTCGTCAAGAATCATAAGGTACCACACTTAGTGATAGTCACAGGGTACAAATAAGCAATCAGGAAACAACAGCAATATACATCGGAAGGATACAAGCAACAAAGTTACTTGTTTATTTATCACTATTGTTAAAAAAAAAACACCCACACCCCACAGCAAGATAGGTTTTTAAAGTTTTTTTTAAAAACACCTGGCAATGAAAACAGGTTGCCCAGCCAATCAGATGGACCAACAGGTAGATTCGGGGGGTTTTTGTTTAAGGATAACAAGGACAGGATTTAGAGAAATGTACACAAATACACACAACACACCCACGTCAGCCTTAATTGAAGGCTTAAGTATAAGAGAGACTATCAGACGTTTGAGGCCCTGTTTATTATTGTTTTTAAACAAGCAAAAACGAGGGGGGGGAAACAGACGAGGAGGGAAGGGGGAAATGTAGGCGAAACCTGGCAAAAAGGCAATAAAAGAATGGTAAATGGTGTTTAAATAGCCAAAGGATCAATAGATCGAAAGTCCCCCGCCCCGAGGAGCTTCCAAATTAAACTAGAAGGGCTGGAGAAGCGAGAAAAGGTGATGGATGGGGCGAGAACCGCGTGGCTGCCCGTTCCCACGACCCTAGAACGCGTGCAAAATAAACCATCCAGGTTGGCCGTTGCAAAGTCGGTTTGCCCAACGCGGCTGGTGTGAAGATCTCTTGCAAAGCTCCCACACACACACACACACACACACCGATGCCCCAAATCGCTAATCAACCTCGTCTTTTGACACCTAGTGGTGGGGAGTTCCCACGACCCGTGGGGGGGAAAAAAAAACTCCTCCCAGGCTTTCCCAGGATTGGGTTAAATTCCAGCGGCTTCCGAGGGGAGTGGGAAACACGCCTCTGGAGCTGTATCCTTGCGCTGCGGATCCACCCACTCCCCCATCCCCACCAGCGGAATTAGCCCCGATCCTGAAAGCAGGGAATTCGCGCATCTTGCGCTATTTAAGCCGCGGCAGGCTGGAGGGAGGACGACGACTGCAAAGCCGTTCTCGGGATTTCGGCGCGCCTCCGCCTCTCTTTGTCAATTGAGCTCTCGCGGCTGGATCTCCCGATGGCCTCCTTTCCTCCCTTCAAACACCGAAAACCGTTTGGTAAGCGACCCGTTTCTCTCCTGCTCCGGGTAAAACGCTCCGGGTTGAGGTGTGTCTCCCCCTCCCCACCAATTGCTACCGCCCCCTATTGGACCAAGGAGCCAATTCACCTCTTTTTGGGGGGGGGGGGTGTTTTCTTCATTTTTTGAGAACTGTAAGGGTTAATGAGCAAGCTGCGTTCCCACGATACATCCCCCGTCCCATACGTTTCCCGGGTTAAGTAAATCCGAGTGGACTCGGTTAATTCAGTTTTCTGGGCATACATAAATTGGGTCTCCTGTTTTTTTGTGTTTTTTGGGGGGGTGTGGACTAGATGACTTCCAAGGTCCCTTCCAACTCTGATAATTTGTCTCTGAATTGCTAATTGCTCGGGGTTTGTGGTCCTAGGACCCCCGGGGGTCTCAAAACTCAAAATTATTTGCTAGCCTGCATAGAAAAATAATTGTATATTAAAATACTGTTGTGCAAATTCTGAGAAGCTGTGCAGCAGCAAATCCATTGTAATAAATATTAATATAGCAGCAACAAGTCCGTCCATTTTAATAAGTATTAATAAATACCCAGACCAACAAAAATACTTTTGTAATTTTTGGAAGCGGTGCCAAGAGAGCCTAGGTTTATCCCAGCATAAAAAGTGAGTTAAGTTTTTGTCCTGCTATAAAAATGCAGGAGATTGCACTTAATAGGAATCTAACTACCTTTCCAAGCTCTCGAGAGGGGTGGTGTTACAGATCCCATTGTTCCCAGCCAACATAACTTGGATGCTTTGGGATTAAGGTTGCTAAAAGGCCGGAAGCCATTCCTCTGCAGATGGACAAACTTTAAGGATTGCCCTAAGCTACTATTAAACCATCTTTGACAGACATGGCTTGGTTTTAGGAAAGGATGGTTGACTAGTCTCCCATTTTGTGTGTGTGTGAGAGAGTGAGACAGACAGACAGAGAAAAAGACAGACAGGGCAGAGAGAGAAGGAGAGAGAGTAGAGGAGAGGAGGAGAGACAGAGAAGAGAGAGACAGAGAGAGAGGAAAGAGAGAGAGGAGAGATAGAGAGGAGAGGAGGAGAGAGGAGAGGAGAGAGACAGACAGAGAAGGAGAGAGACAGAGAGAGACAGAGAGAGGAGAGAGAGAAAGAGAGATAGAGAGGAGAGATGGAGAGGAGAGAGACAGAGGAGAGAGAAAGAGAGAGAGGAGAGATAGAGAGGAGAGATAGAGAGGAGAGAAACAGAGAGAGACAGAGAGAGAGAGACAGAGAGAGGAGAGACACACACAGAGAGAGGAAAGAGATAGAGAGGAAAGAGAGAGAGGAGAGAGAGAGTGGAGAGACAGAGAGGAGAGGAGGAGAGAGAAGGAGAGACAGACAGAGAGAGAGAGAGGAGAGAGAGAGACAGAGGAAAAACAAAGAGAGAAGGAGAGAGAGAGAGAGAGAGACGGAAGTCCTAAGTATTTTCTGAATTGTAAACCCAGCTGTTGTGTACCACAAAGTCACTTTTTATGACTTAGTGTGGAGTGGATTTTGCTGCTCATCCGAATTCCTTTCACAAACCACGGTTAAACGGAGGCTTAGTGTGATGTGTAGGAAACCAGGCTCTGGGAATTATGGAAGCTGGGACTGTCCATCCACAATCCATGGTGAATTCTTTCCCATTTCCCCAAAACTTTTTATTCTAGCTTCCAGGAAGAAGGAAGTGACTGCAATCCGGATCAGATTTCCTTATAAACTGCCGGTAGGTGTGTTTTGTGAATTTTCTTAAGAGCAAGTCTCTTGGCACAACTGGAGTGGACTGGGGTCTCTTTTTCTTTCTTTCTTTCTCATTCCTTCCTTTTTTTCTTTCCTTTTCCATTCCTTCGTTTTTCTTACCTTTCTTTCTCTCCTTCTTTTTTTCTTTATTTTCTTTCTCCTTCCCTCCTGCCCTTTCTCTTTTCCTTTCCTTCATCTTTTCTCCTCTTTCCTTTTTCTTCTTTCCACTTTCCTTTTCTTTTTTCCTTCCCTTTTTTCTTTCTCCTTCCCTCCTTCCTTCTTCTCTTTCCTCTCCTTCCTTTTTTTCTTCTTTCTCCTTCCTTCTTACTTTTCCTTCCTTTTTTCTTTCTGTCCTTCCTTTTCTTTTTCTCTTTGGTTTCTCCTTTCCTTTCTTTTCCTTCCTTTTTCTTTCTCCATCCATCCATTCCTTCTACCTTCCTTCTTCTTTCCTTTTTTCTCCTTTCCTCCTTCCTTTTTATTCCCTTTCCTTTTTCCCTCTTCCTTCCTTTCTTTCTCCCTCTTGCTTCTGCTGTTTGTTGAGGGGAGAGGGATTTGTTTAACCTCCTCGGAGTATATGCATATGTATATGCATATGTAAACACCCCCAGACCCATTTAAGCCCATCGTTTAAGCCCATACTTATCCTCTATAGCTTCTCAAACTCCCGTTCTGGGTTAATTGCAGGTGGTTCTGGAACGCTATTCAAAGGAGAAAATACTGCCGGCTTTAAACAAGGTGAAGTTTCTAGTCCCTGGAGAGTTCACCATGGGCCAGTTTGTCGCCATCATTCGGTGAGCATTTAAAATCTTGCGGCAAATTCATTAATGAAGGATGTGGGGGGGGGGGGAGAAGGGCCTACTGCCAGATGGGGGAGAAAATTAGAAATGCAGCTTTACAGGATGTTTTTGTTAAACAGAGGAGGATGGTTTTAATGAGTTCACAAATGACGAAATTAGCACTTGAAAACCAAATAGTTAAATGGTGATTAGCAAAGAAGTGTTGGGTTTCCCCCAAAAGAGCGGATTTCTGGATGTTTTTCCCCAGCCATCAAGCGGATGATGGGATTGAAGTACAGGTGGGTCTACTGACCAGAATCAAGATTTTAATTGGGGAAGGGGGTTGGTCTAGGTGATCTCTAGGTCCCTTTCCAACCTGATGATTCTACTGTATAGTGCACCTAGTCAACTAGGTGACATTGGGTCAATCGCCAGGAGACGGGGAGTTCTAGTCCTGCCTTAGGCCTACAAGTCAACTAGGTGACATTGGGTCAATCACTAGGAGACAGGGAATTCTAGTCCTGCCTTAGGCCTACAAGTCAACTAGGTGACATTGGGTCAATCACTAGGAGACGGGGAGTTCTAGCCCTGCCTTAGGCCTACAAGTCAACTAGGTGACATTGGGTCAATCCCCAGAAGAGTGGAAGTTCTAGTCCTGCCTTAGGCCTACAGGTCAACCAGGTGACATTGGTTCAATCACCAGGAGACTGGGAGTTCTAGTCCCATGTTAAGACACGAAAGCCAGCTAGGTGACTTAGGGCAATTACCAGGGGAAGGGGAATTGTAGCGCCGCCTTAATCCAGCTTGGACCATCCTTGCACCCGCACAATTGCAAGAAGCTTTGGAAATTGCCAACACACACACACACACACACACAATCCAAGTGTGCCAAGGACCGTGAGGATTTCAACATTCCCTGTGTCTTCCTCCCCCCAGGAGCCGGATGGGCCTGAGGTCCACGCAGGCCTTCTACTTCCTGCTGGACGGTAACCATAGCCTGGTGAACATGTCCTCCACCATGGCTGACATCTACACCACCTACAAAGACGAGGACGGCTTCCTCTACATGACCTACGCCTCCCAGGAGATGTTCGGTTGAGGGCCTTCAAACCTTCTTGAGAAGTTGGCCTGGGAGATTGTCCTTTCGTTTTCCCACCCGTTTTATTCCGAATTTTGGCAGTTCTTCGGAACGTGTTTCTCAAACTTGGGGAGGTTCTAATCCTTCCCCCGGCCCCGTTGCGCAGAACTGACTTTATTGAGGATGGTTTTGGGGTTCCTGAGCTGCAGGGACCTCTTCGGTGGCCAATTGTCTTCTGCTTGGTGGTCTTCAAAGGATCCCGAGCTTAAGAATCTGGCCACTTCCCTTCCTCTGCCAGTCTTCTGCTCCAGATTCCCCTGCACCCTTGTTCAATTTGGGGGTGACGGCTGAGCCCTCTGCTATTCCCAATCCCCCGATTTTGGTTTTTCTCACCCCCAAAATAAGACAAAAATGAGATCCCTCCCGCTTTTTAGTGTCTCTCAACCTTAGGCACTTGAAGATGGGCGGACTTCGTCTCCCAGAATCCTCCCGCCAGGGGAATTCTGGGAATTAAAACGCCACTTCTTCAAGCTTGTCAAGGTTTGAGAAAGCAGTATGGGGTGCTAACTCCCAGCGTTGTTCCGGCCGAGGCTGCTGGGACCTGTAGAAAATTCAGCTCAACAGCGGCGGGAACGCAACACTTAAGGTGGTGGGAATTGTGTGCCAAAGGAATCGCACAACTACCTCGGAGTAGTCAAAGTTTTCGTCGGGAGGAAAGCGTTTGGTCACGACTCGGGAATTGAAGTGGGAAGCGTTTAAAAATCTGCAGAGCAAAAATGTTGGGAATAATGGCTTAACTATAAACCCGTAGTAAACTTGCACGTGGCTGGCAAGCCCTGATGTATTTGGAGTATTTATTTCACGGCTTAATTTTCGACGTGTGAATTTACGCCTGCTTTCCTTTTTTTTCCTTTTAGCAATAGCAATAGCAGTAGACTTATATACCGCTTCATAGGGCTTTCAGCCCTCTCTAAGCGGTTTACAGAGAGTCAGCATATTGCCCC